AAGGTATCAGTAAATTTAAGGTGGCAGTGGACTTACGAAGGCAGCGGATTTAAGAAGGCAGTGAACTTAGTGTATAAGTAAATTTAAGGAGGCAGTCAATTTAAGGTGCCAGTGGATTTAAGGTATTAGTAAATTTAAGGTGGCAATGGATTTAGGGTAACAATAAATTTAAGGTAGTAGTTGATTTACGGTATCAGTGGATTTAAGGTAACAGTGTGTTTAATAACATAGGAACCACCTAACAACACTTTAGCAACAACCTAGGACACCATAGCAACCCCCTAACAACACTTTACCAATCACCTTAGATACCACAGCAACCCCCTAGCAAGGTCTAAGCAACACTTTAGCAACCATCACCAGTCTACCACCATTTTAACATTTTAACATAATTACCATAATTTTGTAAATTTGTCACAGTCCACAGTTTGACATACAACCACCAAATTTTGCACAAACGTTCCTCAAACACAAAAAATAATGCGCTTGTGCTTTTTGGACCGATCCGATATAGCAACATGTTTAAGGTACCAGTGGACTTAAGGTAGTAGTGAGCTTAAATTATCAGTAAATTTAAGGTATTAGAGAATTTAGGGTAGCAGGTTATTTATTGTACCAGTGAAGTTAAGTCAGCAGTATATTTAGGATATCAGTGGATTTAAAGGAACAGTAAATGTAAGGTGGCAGTGGATTTAAGATATCATGAAATTTAAGGTGGCTGTGGGTTTAAGGTATCAGTGAATTTAAGGTGAAAATGAATTTAAGGTGGCTGTGGATTTAAGGTCTAAGTACATTTAAAGTGGCAGTGAATTTAAGGAAGCAGTGGATTTTAGGTATCAGTAAATTTAAGGTGGCAGTGGATTTAGTGTATCAGTAAATTTTAGATGGCAGTGAATCTTCACTTCCATTTCACAATAATAGCACTTATGGCTGACTGGAGCACATGGAGGCATGTCTATTGGAGTTAGATTTGTGCCAAAATGTTTGAGAGAAGATCCTGATGTTTGAGAGAGGAATGTCGCTGTTTGGAGAGGACAGCAGTGCTCTGAGTGCGCAGCTAATGAACTTGAACGCACTTGTCAGCACGAAGTGCGCATGTAAACACCTTCAGATTTGCTCAACAAAACACTGGTTTCATTCAAAACTTTAAAATCTGCACGTTTTTCCATGCAAAACACTCCGGTTTTCACTCAAAACTGGAAAACTTGCTCAAGCATGCTCTTCACCTTCAAAACTCGCATGTGCGCGCAAATCATTTCTGCTCTCAGCTCCACAGCGTGCGCTCAACTTTCACATCTGCTCGCTGTAAAATGTCTGAACGTTTGTGCCAAAACTCCAGCCAATCAGAGCTGCCGAAGGGCAGTTCCTGCCAGCGCACCAATCATGGCGTCTTTTCTTAAGCAGCTTTATGCCAATTGGTCAAGGTACGTTCATGGCTGTGGTATTGAGTCGGCTAGTGTGCTTGTAGCCTCGACATTAGATAGATGGTTTCTAGCTTTCTAGTAGCAAATGAATAGAAATGATTTATCAGTAATACTCTGTCATAGATAACATATTAATCTAACATTGGTAGCTCGGCCATTTGTTTCCTACCAGAGGCTTAATGAAGGCTAACTTCAAATAGCTTAACATTAATCAACTAAGCTGACATTAACAAGATTTCTTTGACTGTAGCTAACAGTGTCTAACAGTATTCTACTGAAAAGTCTTAACTCTCCTATAGCGCTTGTCTTCATAGGCTCATCTTGTTAATCCTGTATATTTATCTTCTACAGTGGCGTCATCAAAAAACAATACTGATGCTGTGCATCAGTCAGCACAAAGTGCGTTCAAGTTCATTAGTTGCGCGCTCAGAGCACCACTGTCCTCTCAAACCATGACATTCCTCTCTCAAATATCAGATCTTCTCTCAAACATTTTGGCACAAAACTAACTCCATACATGTCCACATACAGTGGCATGCAAACGTTTAGGCACCCCTGGTCAAAATTTATGTTCCTGTGATTAGTTAAGTGAGTAAAAAGATGACCTGATTTCCAAAAGACAAAGATCACACATTTGTTTCATATTTTAAGCAAGATCACTTTTTTCTATCTTTTACAGTTTCAAAATATCAAAAAAGGGCCCAAAACAAAAGTTTATGACCCTATAGTCAGTACTTGTAACACCCCCTTTGGCAAATATCACAGCTTGTAAATACTTTTTGTAGCCAGTAAAGAGTCTTTCAGTTCTTGTTTGGGGGATTTTGGCCCATTCCTCCTTGCAAAATACTCTTAGTTCTATGAGATTTTTGGGCCATATTGCATGCACTGTTCATTTGAGGTCTTTCCTGGCCCTCCATGGCAAAACCTTCAGCTTGTGTCTCCTGAGGTGGTCCATTGTAGATAATGATCTCAAACACATCTCAAAATCCATAACGGACTATCTCAAAATCCAAAATGCACTGTGAGGGCCATGGCAAAACCTTCAGCTTGCACCTCTTGAGTTAGTCCATTGTGAATTTTGAGGCGTGTTTAAGATCGTTACCCTGTTGTAGAAGCCATCCTCTTTTTATCTTCAGATTTTTTTTTACAGTGTGATATTTGCTTCCAGAATTTGCTGGAGTTTAACTGAATTCATTCTTTCCTCTACCAATGAACTGTTCCCCATGCCTCTGGCTGCAACAAGCCCAAAGCATGATCAGTCCAGCCCCAGGCTAAACAGTTAGAGAGGGGTTCTTTTAGTAAAATTTAGTTTGCTTGCTGTAGGCAAAAAGTTCTATTTTAACTTCATCGGTCTGTAGGACATGATGCCAAAAAGCATCAGTCCTGTTTAAATGTTCCTTGGCAAACTTCTGATGCTGAATTTTGTGGTGAGGATGTAGGAAAGTTTTTTTTTCTAATGACTACAATGAAGGTCATAATTGTGTAGGTGTCAAAAAACGGAGATACTTGAACATTAAAAAAAATAATGCCACACAGCTCTCGGAGCTCTTGGTTTGATTAGCTTACCTTGGACAAAGCTGAAGTTAGCTTCTTCTTTGAGTGTCAGATACTTGCACTGATGGTTCAACTATGCTAACGTTAAATCATTTGTCAAGACTCACCTGTATGTCTAAGTTACTGATGCAAGGACAAAGCAAGTCTTGCAGATTCAAACAGCCCCATTTCAATCCTTTTTTTTTTTTAAACATACTCTCACCCACTTCAGCTCACCACTAAGATGTGCATCACTCCTATGTTCCAAAAGTGGCTACTCATGGCAGAAGTGGCCACTCATGACAGAAATGGAGGAGGCATCAGTGAGCAGCAGATTATTCAAATGGAACACATCCCTGCTGAAAAAACTCATAGAAACAATTAATTGTTTCTGTTGGTTCCTCATGGTTGTAATGTGTTTTGGCTTTTTTATGGGTTATTTTAAACAGCTTTGTCCGCCATCATTCTGGAGTTCGAAAAGGGAAATGCATCAGGTCACAGTCGCAGTGATTTCTGGGCAAGTTCTGCTGAAGTCGACACTGGTTTTCGCTCAATCGCTTGCCTCTCTGAAGGCTCATCTAACACCCTTCACTTCAGCTAATAAAGTAATGAAACAGCACTTAAGATGGTGCTTAAGTCTGGCCAAGCAAGAGGGACAGGGAGGTTTAGCTTCTAATAACTACTTGGTTGTTTAGCCCTGAATTCAAGAGCTTGCTGGGAGTGACTGAGCTATTTAGAAAATTCCCTCTCGGGTAAGAGCCACACATTATATACAAAAACACAAAATTTGACCATAAATTAACTTATAAAGCTCAGTTAGTTTAATTTTGAGATGTAGCATTATACCTACACCTACACTCCACCTTCAGTTGTTTTATTTGATTTTAGTTAACTTTTAATTTAATTTGGTGCGTTTCAGTTATTGTTTTAAATTTATTATTCTTTTTATTCATTATCAGCTTATACTTTTTAGTTACTGCTTAGTTATTGTTTTAAATTTTCCATTCTTTCATTTACTTTAATAACTATGTTTTTTATTATTTTTTTTCTATTTGATCCATTATTCATAAAGTTATTTTATTTTTGCAATGTTAACTATTTTCTGAATAGATTGATTCTGTACCATTAAATTTACTATTACGATAATCATTGTTAGTATTTTTCATTTGATACGATTTTGCAATTATTTTTTTTCAATCCTTAATTTCTGTATTAGCTCGGTTACATTGTAAACTTCGGTCACCCTCAATGTACTGTAAATAACAGCAATTATTACTGTCACAAGTGACTTCAAGCTTTTAAATACTAATGCACCTATAACATGATGTATTTGCGAGCAAAATCAGGGAGGTTCTGAATTACTGTAGCTTAATGGTAGGTGGGGGCTGTGTTGATGAAACATGATGTTAATGGGTAATATATTGTTTTTTCCTACTTGCTTGGCTTTGGAGATGAAACCCAAACCAGAAGAAGGTTTTAGAGGCAGCCAATTATATTTTATGGAAGACTATGGACTAGAAATTATTTAGACAAGTGTCGGGTTTCTTTAATTATACGATGAAGCATGCTTAATGTGAACAGCGACATGAGCTAACAAGGTCACAAGGTCAAATCTGATTTTAAAGCTGTGCTAGAATTGAGAATATTTTGAAGTTGAAAAACACAGAAGTAGTACCAGTAAGAGATAAATGCAAGAGTAACAAAGTTTAAATGAAAAGTTAAAAATTGTGTAACAATTTACACATATTTATTTGGGCAACAATAAACTACAAAATGAGGCAAATGTCTCCCCTGACTTTTCAAATGGCTCCAATGCCCCTCTGTATATGGGAGCTTTTTTGCTTTTAGCCTTAAACTTAACCCCTCCAAAACAGAAGTGAGCACTTTTTAGGAGTGGAACATATACAGTATGCTAAGTAACAGTAAGACTTAACAGCAACTTGCTCAAACCACACAGCTGACAAAAAGCAGAGCCTGAAATTAAATTACTCAAGTCCCTATTATGCAATAACCATCTGTGTGTGCGTGCGCATGTATTAGTACCTTCCTCCCGCCAGGCAGAATCCTCAGGGTTGCTCTCACTGTCAGCCTCGTAGCCTTCCTCCTCTATGAGAGCTTGAAAACCACACACCTGAGCTTCATCTGCTTCTTCCGATACATCTCCTGATGGAGCCAGTGCCTCACTGTCCCCCTGACTCTTCTGAAAAACAGAGAACAACTTTATTTCTTTTGAAAAGGAAAAACATGGTGGCCACCAGAAAATGCTCTCGAACCATCCCAATTCCAATAGCAATATTTTAAGCTGTACAGTCCTCAACAACATCTACTAGCAAAACTGCAAACAGTACTAAAGCTGCAAAAAAGCAAAAGAATTCAATTCTTATCTTTAAAAAACAAATAAAAAACACAGTACAGTGTAAATCAAAATTGAATACAACGCAAGTAATCCATATAATACTGCTACTCTTTTTTAAGTGAAGGTGAATGTTTTTTATTATCTGAGTAAAATGAACAAAAATAAATAATTAAAACATTCCGGTCACAGGATGCATCAGCTGACTGGTATGGCGTAAAGACAGCCTCAAGTTCCCAGAGGCATGTGAACACAAACTCACTCACACACACTCTCTTAATCCATCTGTGTAAGGGTTCATTTCGATTAACACGCTCAATAAATACAGTTGTATACAAGTTTAAACAAACCTGATGTGATAAGAACCACTTAGATAGCTATTTAATTATTTGAGGAATTAATGGTGGAGAAAAATTACACCCAAGTCAGCAATTCTCCAACTAACATGCAACTTAACTGGGGTGCTTAAAATTTCACATCCAACTGCATGTCAAAAAAAGGCTTTTTAAAATGAAAACATACACACAAAAAACAAACGGTAATAAAAAAAACAAAAATACAAAAAAATGGTAATAATTGTGATTAGTTAGTACATTAAATGATAATAGTTATGAAAATGTGAAAAAAAAACTGTTAACTGGATAAATGTGCTCATAACTGTTCATGAGTTAATCTAAACTTGGGGAAAAATGGGAAATGTAGTTAAGGGTCGACTGGTATCCGTTTCTCTATGCTGATACCCATACATATTATTCATAGACCAATATGGGCCTGATATATTTATATACCATACATTTACAGAAGAAAATCTACAGGAACACAATTTCTACACAAACCATTACATTAATATGTAAAGTACATAGAGATCCCTGACAAATAAATACTTGGGAAAAATGAGACAATGTAATGAAGTATTTTAAAATAAACTTTGAACATAAAAAAATAAAACATACACAGCTCTTTAAAATTATAACATAGTAATAACATAGCTGCCACCAGCAATCTGCAGGTTCAAGCACAAATCGGCACAATGAGGCCTTCTACAGTAGGGGCCAGTGAGGCCTAACAAGGCCTAATGCAGTTTGGGCCTTATTTACATACAGAAAAAAACTGAAAGGAAGTAGGAGTTTATCAAAAGGCTTTAATTTTTCATTTTTTTTTAAATATTGAGCAGTGCATTTTAACATTATATAATCTAACTTCTACATGTAAAAAGCATATTTTAACATGCAAGTATTTGTCAAAGTCAAAAATATATGACAAATGTTTCAATTTCTGACATAGATGTGTCTGCAACGTTTGGTTCTCAAAGCTTAACCCTTTGATATGCATCCCATCGACACATAAAGGCCCTTCTGATATAACATCTAACTGCAAGGTTATTCAGGACAAAGAACTGAAATGACAATGACAAAATAGATTTATAAAAACAAATGTTTTTGAATGCTGTAGCACCCCCTAAAGGCCAATCTGGAATAAAATTTTCACACCTCACCAGTCGGCATAGATTGCTTGATAAAGGGAGAGCCTGTTGAGTGATTAAGTCAATACTTTTTTTATTCTTATCCACATACAGAGGCCACAGAGTATTTCAAGAACATTAACTGCAAATTCATTTGGAACACTGCACTACATGATTTCAAACCAGGTGTCTGACCAAAAGTAGAAATATGTCTGTAGGTTCTTAGTTGTGCAACCGTCTAAGCATTGGCCTGATCATTAGGAGATGCGAGTTTGTTCCCCGGTGATTTCAAGACAGTACAACTGGCTGCTCTCTTCGATAGGATGGCTCTTTCTCTCACCCAATGCAACGCTAGCCAGCACAGTTATCTGCTAGCTGACGCAATAGAACTGGTGGTTAGAGTTCTCCTCCAAGCACGTTCAGCTGTCAAATGGCAGTTCGAAATGATGCGGTGGCTGGCCTCACGTGACTCGGAGGAAGCTTGTGCTAGCCTTTTGCCCTCCTAGTGCTGGTGGTATTGTGTGACTGGGGGAGTCCTAACTAGTGGGTGGAACTGGATATGACTAAATTAGGGAAAAACCAGGAAAAATCCTTAAAAAAAAAAAAAAATTATGAGATATACTTGCTTTTTCTGAAAACCGCTGCTAATGGCTACATATTTTGAAACTTCACTGTTGTTTAAAAGTGCCTACACAGACACACCATTCATTATGACTGATCAATGTTAAGCCTTTCAAATGCATGCTGAAAACTGATAGGCTGATGGCCATAAATTTTAACAAATCATTGTTAGTAATTCATTACTTATAATCTGTCTAAAAGATGCTGCATGCAAAATTTCAGCTTGATTGGCTGTATGGAGGCTAAGAAACAGTTATTTAGCAGTTACAGCACCCCCTAACGATGTACATGGACCAAAATTGAAATGCTGTCTCAGGATACCCTTTAGAATAAACCTGTGACCAGCTTCATGTTTTTGGATAAAGCATTCATGAGTTATAGAATTTTTAAATGCAGCCAAGGAATCAGAAATTAGACTCTAAAAATGTTGATTCAGGAGCTTTCGGTCTCTTCTGCACAACATGCTTTTCAAGAGAAAAAGAATAAGAAAAACTTTACAATTACAAGACTTGCACTGAGTGCACAAACTCTAATTAAAAAAAAATTAATACAATAAAAATGTAATAAAACAAAAGCTGTGAAGTGTGATAAGTACATGATCTTAGCTTGCAATAAAGCCTATTCTGATGTTATTTATTATTTTCTTGCCTGTTACCATAATTACTTCACAGATGCCAGAAGGCAACCAAACTAGGAAAAAACCTCAAGTCTGCACGTTGTGTTTCTCTCACGTACAGTAAGTGTACTTTCACCGAATGAATGAGCTGTTACAAGCTGTATGCACAAGTCATGTTTGTTTGACTGGACAGTGCATCATCACAAAACCAATGAAGACTCTAAAAATCTACTGAGTTGTGCTTTTTGCCAAACGACTGCACTATTCAATCTCGCTGTGTCCTTACTGCATGGTACAAGACAATATATGCGCAGTTTCTTACTCAAGTCCTTTAAAAAAAAAACGCAGAGGCAAAAAGCCACCACGCACAGTGAGGAGGACGGTAAAAGAAGTAAAAAGTTCTCCAAAGCTCACTGTTAGAGAATTGCATCAAAGAGTAGCAGGGGTCTTGGGGTCACAAAGTCTCCATAACAACCATCAGGCACTACACGCCAACAAGCTGTTTGGGAGACATGCACGGAAAAAGCCTTTTCTCACTTACAAGCATAAACGTAAACGTCTGGAGTTCGCTAAGCGCTACTGGGACTTCAACTGGCACCGTTTGCTTTGGTCAGATGAGACCAAGATAGAGCTTTTTGGCAACAAACACTCTAAGTGGGTCTGGCGTAACACAAAAGATGAGTATGCGGAAAAGCACCTCATGCCCACTGCGAAGTATGGGGGAGGATCGGTGATGCTGTGGGCCTGTTTCTCTTCCAAAGGCCCCGGGAACCTTGTTAGGGTGCATGGCATCATGAACTCTTTGAAATACCAGGACATTTTAAATTAAAATCTGGTGGCGTCTGCCCGAAAGCTGAAGATGGGTCGTCACTCTGTCTTTCAGCAAGATAATGACCCTAAACATGTGGCCAAATCTACACAAAAATGGTTCACCAGACACAAAATCCAGCTCCTCCCATGGCCATCTCAGTCCCCAGACCTCAACCCAATTGAAAACCTGTGGGGTGAGCTGAAGAGGAGAGTGCATAGGAGAGGACCCAGGACTCTGGACGATTTAGAGAGATTGTGCAAAGAGGAATGGTCGAATATCCCTCTCTCTGTATTCTCTAATCTTGTGAAATGTTATAGGAGAAGATTAAGTGCTGTCTTTTTGGCAAAAAGGGGTTGTACAAAGTATTAACATCAGGGGTGCCAATAATTGTGGCACAGATGATTTCATGTAAAAGAATTATTTCTTAATGTGGAATTTTTTTCCCCACTAAATAAATGCACTTAAATTAAAGGTTGGATTTCTCTCTTTTTTTGCATTGTTGTCCTATATTATTCTCTCCCCCTCCCCCTTCCCCTCTATACACAGAGCTGCATCTGAGAGACTGATTCTGCCTTTGTTTGACTCTGTACAGCGAGTTTTTCAAACCGCAGTAAACGATACTTTAAAGTTCAAACCGTACCACTAACCGTCATTAATTTTACCGCGGTTTACCGTGAAACCGGTAACTGTTTCATCTCTAATATATAGACACATACATATATATATATATATATGCTCTGGGCCAAAATAATACCGGTAACCGTTTTTGATACTGTTCTACCAATAAAGTTTATTCACTGTGGAAGGCTGAATGCAGTGAACCTCCCAGGCCAGACAATTAACGTTAATCAGGCAAACATTAATGCAGAAAGAAACCTGCCTTCCACTGCCTGTTTTATTTTAATTAAGAGCTTTGTGTTGGGTTCAGCTGTAAGCTAAGTTTTCCTCCCTCACTGTTCATTAATATTCATTAAAAATTAATATTAAATATTAATTTAAATATTAATTTAATATTCTTTCAAATGTTCTAAGAAAAAAGTAAATCAGTTCTTTGTTGTTTGGACAAATTCATTACAGTGTACACTATAAGGTCAAAAGTATTGGGCTTTTATGACATCCCATTCTAAATCCATAGGCTGGATGGAGATGGTCCACGCTTTGCAGCTATTACAGCTCCCCATCTTCTGGGAGGGCTTTCTATAAGATTTTGGAGCGTGTCTGTGGGAATTTTTGCCCATTCATCCAGAAAAGCATTTGTGAGGGCAGACAGTGATGTTGGATGAGAGGGTCTGGCTCGCAATCTCCATTCAAGTTTATTCCAAAGGTGTTTGATAGTGTTGAGGTCAGGGCTCTGTGCGGGCCAGTTAAGTCCTTCCACACCAAACTCACTCAAACCATACCTTTATGGACTTGGGGCACAGTCATGCTGGAACAGAAAAGCACCTTCCCCAAACTGTTCCCACAAAGTTGGAAGCTTGCAATTGTCTAAAATGTGTTGATATGCTGAAGCTTTAAGATTTCCCTTCACTGGAAGTAAGGGGCCTAGGCCATCATCTGGAAAAACAACCCCATGGCACTATCCTATGGCACAGTTGGCACAATGCAGTCAGGCAGGTAACATTCTCCTGACATTCAGCAAACCCAGATTTTTATTAGTGTTTTTTCGCTCTTTTTCTGGCCCAGTAAAAATATACATATACCTGTGGGGGCAGTGGAGAAAAAAAAAAACTATGTTGGACCCTGTATAGGATGTTGAGCAAAAAGATGCTTAAGACAACTAACCTTTTCCAGTTTCTCCTCAACAGCAACTGGAGTGCTGCACACCTCAGCCAGCGCCACACGCAACAAAGAGTCAAACAGAGGAACAGCCAGATCAGAGTTCACCACACCAGAGTGAGACAGCTGATCCTTCACCTCACACAGAGTGTCCTCCACTGACTGAAGCTGCACACACACAGAGAGAGAGAGAGAGAGAGAGAGGAGAGAGAGAGAGAGAGAGAGAGAGGAAGAATGAAATAAAAGGACAAAGAGACAAAAAGAAAATATAGTAAAAGGGGGAAGAACAGACAGAGAGCAAGAGAAAAAAGAGAAAAAGGGAGAAAGAGCGAGTGCAAGAGGGGGAAAAGTGGAAAAAGGGAGGGAGAGAAAGAAAATGAGAGAGGGGAGAGAAAGAGAAAGGAGAGAGAGAGAGAGAGAGAGAGAGAGAGGAAAACAAAAGAGAGAAAGAGAAAGAAAGAAAAAGAGAAAAGGAGCAGTAAAGAAAAGGAGAAAGAGAAGTGGTAAAAGACCAGAGAAAAGAGAGGGGTAAAGAGAGAGAAAGTGAGAGAGGGAAAGAAAGAAAGAGAAGCAAGCAAGAAAGAGGTAATAGATACAGACAGAAGACAGAGAGACAAAAAAAAGATAAAAAAGAGAGGGAGAGTCAAAAATAAATGATGAAACAACAAAAGGGAATGCGAAAGATCAAGAAAAAGACAGAGGGGGAACAGAAAGAGACAGAAAGAGCAAAAGGGAAAGGGCAGAGAGTGAGTGTGTGAGAGAGAAAGAAAGAAAAAGAAAGAAATAGAGAATGAAAAAAGACAAAGAAAAAGAGAAAGAAAGAAATAAAGTTATAAAGAGAGAATACAGAGAAAGGGACAGAGCAAGAGGGTAAAAGATTTGGTATATGTCAGAGTTCATTTAGACAACACTCAGTAAACAGATCTAAGTTCGAATCACAGCCTAATAGTCTAAAAGGCAATGTAACATACTCATATTACTGCATAGAACATTCACACTTGTTTTCACAGAGCTCTACATTTTAATAAGTTGTAAGTTACCTGGAATGAAAGATCTGGCTCAAGTTTCTGCAGGGCCGTGTTGGCGCTGTGGAGACAGATAGCCAGAAGGGCTTCCAGTAGCCGAATGTTCTGCAAAAGCCACTCCTCTTCCAGCTTGTATGCTGGGTCCTTGCTCCTGCCCTCCACTTGACTAAAAATCAAGGAGCTGCTGAGGTCCTGCTGGTGTATCTCCTGTGATCCAGGTGCTGTGGGTATAGCCTCTGTCTGCACTCTTGTCACAGTAGGAGAGTCTGAATGAGATGGGCTTGCTTTGCCCTTGCCCTCTCTCTTTTTCTTAACTTTACTGTCCTTGATTTTGGAGGTAAGTTTCTGTATGACCATTGCCATGAGGCGGTGGCAGACATCCAGGCCACCCAGCCTGAAGAACTGTCTTTGGAAAACTGGACTAGCCAGGCAGATCCAGCGGCATATGGACCACACGTCTGCTGCTCGCCTCACCTGCTCCTTGGAAGGCAGTGCTACATTGTCCAGTAACAAGCATGGTAAACGTCCCCCCAGGGGTTCGCTGGCTGTACTGTCATAGCCGGAGGTATCCTCAGAGTCGTTCGCAGAGTCCCTGTCAGAGTCAGCGTCCTTGCTGACACACAGGAAGGCCACACACAAGAAAAGATTAATAGTGTTTAAATGTGCTTCTCCATGGTTAGGCCCAATTCCACCAACACTTCTGCCCCGCCGATGTGGACATGCCTCTTTCAGGCCCTCATAGAACTTGCTGAGGCTCTGTGGGCCATCTCCTGTCCCACGAGACCCTGAGTCTTCTCTGAGCCCAAGTACAGCCCCTCTCTCTTGGTCTTCAACTTTCCCCAGCTCTTGTAGAGCACAGTTCATTTGCTGATCCCAGCCACTTAAGATCAGCATCTCAAACACCTTCAGGGCCCAAGGTCGAGTGTAATCTAGATGGATCAACTCAGTGACCTGGTTCAGCCCATTACAGCTAAAGAACAGGCCCTGCACCACTGTGCTGGGGTAAGAAGAAAAAGGAAACCAATAAGAACAAATGAGAATTAGCAGTACCGTTCTCTCGACGATACATACAGAGACACAGCAAAAAACTAAAAATGTAAAGACAGAAAACTTTCCTCCATAGTGTCATGGGAACAGACATAATCTTGTAATGAGAATTAACATCCGGGGACAACTTTTTTGTTTGTTTTGGTGATGGACTGTAGTGAAATCTGCTGCAAACAAAGGGTATGTCCCTTCTAAAACCCATCCCTAAATTCCTCTAGTCTATGCCCTTAGCATCCATACAGAAAACAAAGCTGGCTAGTGAAACACTTATCATTTGTTAACTGAACCATTTTACACTTGCAGGAAGTAATGTAACATGTGTGACACACATCTATGCTTTACTGGAGTTTTTTTTTGGTGGTACCTTTCAGCCATACTATTTTACAGTACATCCATGCCTAACAGGCATGTTGTCATACTCGTTTGTTCCTACCCTAATGAGTCTACATTCACACCTACTCAATTATTTAACCAATTTTTTAAATTTACAAGATCACATATTGCCTAATGAGATTACTCCACCTACAGGCAATGGGAACCAACATATCAGCGTAGCAACATATGCCTTGACTAATGCTAACAATATGTAGATCAGCTGTAAAGATGGGCTAGGACGCACACAATAAATGCACTTAATAAGTCATGTGGCGGTGGAGAGGCAGAGTCAGTGCCTAGCCCCAAGCACATGACATGCTCCTTTTCTGATCGCAAACAGCTGCGCTAAATCAGAGGAGGAACATACTCTTTAAAAACTGGCTCTCTTTGCAGTGTGAAAGAGGGGACGCTGGCCTCCCAGCCACACGCATGCTGGAGAGACAAAGAGAAAAAAGTAAGAGGGACTTTTGTCTGGTTAATAGTAAAAGGCCTTGAAGCCTCGTTTAAGTTTGGGTGTGTTGTCACTCAGAAACATGTGAATAAAGCACTTTGGTTCACTCGCGCTGGTGTTTGTGTGTGTGTCTCTGAAATCTTGTTGGGTTTCCCAGTCAGTGTGAGTTGGCCCCTCCCCTGACTGCACCACAGCGCTCCTTTCTGGGCAGGTCCTGTGACTGGGCGCCAAACGAGGCTTGGAGGCATGCTGCAGCTCTGATGCAAGTGGTGTTAGTTTAGTTTTTTGTTCTGGTTTTGATTAAATTAAAATAAAATGCCTAAAAATGATAAAAGGAAAAAAAGAGGCAGCAGCTCACCCTCACCCTCCTGGACCCTTTGTACTTGCTCTACTGGGCCTGGAGTGGCCAGATGACAAGCCCATGAGAGGAGCAGCGGGTGGGCAGGGCTGAGTTATCAGCTACTACACCCCTGGCACCTGGCGCAGCCAGAATTGGGCTGGTGCACATGGTGCCCTGTCGTTTCTCTGTCATTCGCAGGGGTGGGGAGGTGGGCCCGGAAAGGGCAGGCCCATGGAAGAGGAAGAGGACTCTCCATGACCAGATTGCCTGCTATGGCCTAGCGCCTGGGCACTGCCTAATGTCCCAGAGGACACTCCAGAGTCACCGCCAGCATCAATAGTATCACCTGGTGTCCCAGAAGACACCCCAGCGTCGACAGTGGCGCCTGGTGTCCTGAGGACACGCCAACGTCGACCGCGTAGCCTGGTGTACCAGAGCATAGACTCTTTGAAAATTGGCCACACGCAGGCTGGATAGAGAAAGAGCAAAAGCAAGAGGGACGTTTGTCTTGTGAAATTAAAAGGCCTTGAAGCCATGTTTAAGTTTTGGTGTGTGTTCACTTAGAAATGTGTAAATAAGGCACAGGTTCACTCAAGCTGATGTTTGTGTGTATCTCTAAGCTCTCTTTGGGTTTCCCAATCAGTGTGTGTCTGCCCCTCCCCTGGCCGTGCAACAGTAGTTGTAGTAAGATAAACAAATCACATACTCACATGTTCACATATTATTGACTTCAGCTTTTACAATCATTTTAATAAGGGTCATTTTTTACCTTCTTATGCCAAAGTCTTAGGGTAGCTGGACCAATGATTGTTAACACATTTGCTCAGGGCACTGTTGCCTAAATTCCTCATAATCAGTGTTGGGATCATTAATAATAATAATAATAATAATATTAATAATATAATAATAATAATAATAATAATAATAATAATAATATCAACAACAAAACAACAAAACAACAATAGCAAGTTTGAATACAGAAAGTATCAAAAAGTGAGAAAAAAACAAAAAACAAAACAAAACAAAACAGGGATTTAATGTGTATGTTAGCTTTATTATGTAAGTATGCGGTAGTATGTTATCTCTCTTCATGGTAGCCCAGTATTTAGAGTTAAAATCCAACACCTAGTTTATCTAATCATTCCTTTATTAAATTGAAACAGGTGTGCTGTTTTACACAGTGTATCAATGCAAAACGTCTGCAGTTAGTTTTGGGCCTAGTTTCATCTTGGCTCATTATTATTGGTATATAATGTAATGTACATTTCATTTTACCCTTACCTCACAGTTTTTTTTTTTTACTTTAATACATAATACAAGTATTTTTCCAAATATATGTCTAGACATCCATTGGGAATTTGAGAATGCATAGCAGCTATTGCTATTTAGGCCATGTGACCACTGTCTCATCCAGCCAGTCACATGCATGAAATTCTTTTACAGCTCAGCTTGTGATCTGATCTGAAGAATAACTTACTTCTTCAGTCTTTTGTCCTGATAGGCCTAGTGGTATGTGTAGAAACTACAGAGTAGGGGGAAAAACACACTATATGAAGAGAAGTAGTAGAAAAGAAGGCTTACCTTGATTTGAGTAAAGCAGGTAGTGTCTGAAGATAAACAAGCAGGACCTCCACAGGGAAACACTGGGTATGGTAGCTGCAGACCTGGGAACATGTACTGGACACACCTAGCTGTTGGGCATGGTGAACTAGTTCCACGCCCTTCTGAAGCACAGGATTAAAAATGTAAGTATACAGTTGCCACTGTACCACTGCATTGCCTCGCAAGGTAAGCTGGCACACATGACTGGCAACCTGTTGACTCAACTGCCAGTCTCCACCAAACACTATGTCCTGGTAAGTTTTTAATGCATCCCACTTCCAGAGCATGTCCTCAGACCCCGTGCTTGGCAAGACACCCTGTGAGTAGTACGAGGGATAGGGAGAGGTAGAGAAGGTCATCTCTTTTCCTGGCCCATAGCCATGCAAAGTCTCTTCAATGGCAGATATCTGGCTGCTGTCCACTGTACAGATGTTACATGAGGCAAGTTTGGCCTTCTCTGAGGGCTGTCCTCCTCCAAGCTGCTCCAGTACAAGCCTGCTAAGCACATTTAGAACATGGGACTGATAGCTGCGCAGTCCTGGTGCTTGAAATGCTTGAAGAAGAGGACCTATAACTGAACGTGGGTCCATGCAGCAACAAATACCGACTGCCTGCATGCCAGCCAGCACCTGCAGCACCGCAGGTCCTGACGGTGACAGGCGTTGGAGAAGGCGCAGACACTGGTGTGCACAGGCTGCAAGACAGCAACAGCGATAAGGGTAGCACACTTGTACATCACTACCCTCAGCATCCTCCTCAAAAGGGTTGCGACGAGTTGCCTGCTTGAAGGCAGAGACGGGCAGTCCTGAGAGGTCGCGATGATGGTGCAAAAAATGGGAGTACTCGCAGCGTCTGTGGCGACGGCGTGCACAAACAGACTGGTGCAATTGCTCTGACTTGGCTTTTTTTACTGCACTTATTATCTTAAGCACACCAGCAATTAGGCCACGCAGACGTTCTGAGGCTTCACCCCCCTCAGAATCCTGAGCACCACCTAGGGCTTCAAGATGAAGACAAGTTGCTTCAAACAACTCAAGGCCACGGTGCTGCACAAACTCATGAACCAGTTCAAGAGCTTGACTGAAGAAAAAAGGATTAGGGGCAGAGGCTTGCAAGCAGCCAAGTAAAAGCTGAAGGATGCCCTCAAGAAGTTCTGGCAGAAGCAGGGCCCTGTGACGATACTTAGAGATGCCAAAGTCCTCTTGTACCTCCTGCAGGGTCTTTTTGGGTCGGGGAGCAAAGGGGTAAGCTTGTCTTCCAAGGCTGGTGTGGATCTTCAACGTGGCACTGAGTAAGTCAGTTAGGCTTTGGCGCAGATTATCAGGTAGTGCCTCACTCTGACCCACATCTACAGACATCAAGTGCAGGATGGTACGCAAAAGCATTCTTTGAACAAGGGCTATGGGTTCCTCGGTCCAGCCTTCAGCCAGTTCATCAACCCCTCCCCCACCACTTCTGCTACCAGGTCCACAGCAGTCACCAAACTCTGTAAGAATTTCAGTGAGTGTGGGAACAACACTGACCGCAAGGCCTGGGTTGTGATTTATGGTCATGTCAAATTTGCAGACCTTCTCCAGAAGGGAGAGTAAAACATGACAGAGGTCAAAAGGTGAATTTTCCATACGGTTCAAAACAGAAAGAGCAGTGGGATCAGTTAGTGTTTTGTTATCGGGTTGTAGGGATCCAAAGAGCCTCACATTAGGCTGGGATCTTTCTAGACTGCTCATAACATCCACACTAGAATACTGCACTGGCTGTTGCTGTGGAATGACAGACTGGTGATGCTGGCAACTGACACGAAATGATGAACCATGGGACCTGCGATGTTTGGTCCCCGTGCTTGCAGCTTTTTCGTCTGAATTGGCTTCAGAATCAGATGTGGTAAGCTGGGACTTGCATGCATCCCTCACTGAGTATCTCTGTGCTGTTCTACGTGTACGTCGGGACTTCCAACTGCCACACGATCGTGTCCCAGAGGTTTGGGTATCAGAATCACTTTTCTCTTTTTCCACCTTCAGACCACCAGCTTTTTCTTCTCGGTTTAGATGTACTTCCAGGAGTGAAGGTAGAGTAAAATCTAACAAAGTTCAGAAAACAGAATTCTGTGATACAAAAGATAGCTGTATGTCCCAGTGACTTAAGAAAGAGGTCTTCTAAACTTGATTTAGTATCAACTTGACTAATTTGACTTAATCTGGTTATGAGAAAGCAGAGCATAAGCCTCCGAAAAAAACTGCACAATTATAGGAACTAATAAGGAAACAATGTAAGATGCCCATGTTAGGAAATATTAGCATTTCAGCACTAAATACTGTTTCGCAGAAGAAACATCAGCCTCATGCAGCAACAGACACAATTTACACAACTATCTCCTATATGAGATTTGTGCATAGATTGATATTTAACTATTTCTGAAGAGTATTGCCTACAAAGATGATGACTGTGTCTTACCATTCCATGTGGATTAAAATGTTAGAATGATATTGAAAACAAATACATAATTCGTTAAATGAGATCAAACTAATTCAACCAAGTAAAGCACAAATGAAAACCAACCTCAAGGACTAAAAATGGAAAATGATGCACAATTTTGTCATCCAATATTCTTCTGCAACTACTGTACTATGTAAAGGACCTGCTTAGTAATGCATATCATCACCAAGAGGATGGAAGGCAAAAACATTCTTCACTTTTAATGCAAAAAGATTATACTGCAAGCAATTTTGGAGTATATCTATTGATCCACTCATTAAGGAAGTACAGCAGGCCTCCTCTCTCACATGTCAAATTCACGGCATCAGAAAACCTACACACACTTGGGAGTTCAAGCAGCTGCTTGCAGACCGAAAACAATGCCCTAACAGCCTTCATCTTTAATACAGGATTCATGTTCTGACCATCTTTCAAAGTAGATAGTGCTGTGAGCAGCAGCGAAATTACTACTTCCAGCAGTTTGTAGCTTTAACCTAACAATTAAAATACCCTATCAGAACGAAGAGGAAAAATATGTAACACTACTCATCCCCAGATGTGTCAGATTATTTTTTTTTGTAGGGTATATTCCTTAGGCTTGAACATTGACACTAACCTGGGGCTCTTTCTTCCTGAACAGGAATCTTCCAGACTAGCGGTAGCAGTGACAACAAAAGAGTGAGCAGCTCTTCCCGGCAGGTCAGCTCCTAAAGTTGAACCATCAGAAATTAAGTTGGAATTTTAGTTGAGAATGTCATGCTGTGGGCAAATGAGAACAACTCAGGCAAACAACACTTTCCTACTGACCAAAATGTGTGTTTAAAGGCAATGTGGTGTGTGAGTAAATGCCTGGCCCTAAATAGTAGCTCCACCCTGAACATTCTGAGGAGAACATTCTTCACAAGGAGACGAGAAAGTGCACCAGCATGTGTGAATTAAAAGTAAATACAGGGGGCTTGCTGTTGTCAGTTCCACGTGACCCTAGGTAAACCATTATTAAGCTATGCTAACCACCCTGCTTGCAAAGAAACTATGTGAGCAGACACAGGGATGCTTCAGGGTGTGGCCCCTCCCTATCCCACTACTATCCTACTATTGAAAAAGCTCAAGAGGAAAAAAAAAATGGGTATGTCCCACATTTCAAATGAAGAGTTATGCTAAAATAACCACACTGGATTCAGTTTCTTGTTGAGTTCATTTTGTGTCAAAAGTTTAAATAAAAAATAACATCCACAACCAAAATGTTAAATGTTTTCAAAAAAGATTACTACTCATTTTCAATCACTTAGGGCTAACTAGGCTAGCCATACTGGTATTACAACTAAATAGCTTAAAACATTTAACATTAGGTCACTGAATTAATGCAAAAACAGTGATTTGAAGAGTGATGGAGTAATGATTTGACAATTTTCTTTTCCAAACAACCACTAAAAGTTCATACTAACCAATGCAAACTCTTTGGTGTAATTCCCACATTACTAAGGCTACTAATTACTCTGTGCGTGCTGTGGCTTTCTGCTGCAAAATGTCACCTTTAGCTAACCTTTACACTCACCACAAATCCAAAATCACACAGTAACCAGAACGACCAGGATGTCCTTACTAGTATACATTAAATTGAACAGGGATTTTACAATATCACAAGGTTTCCAAATGGGTCATTCTCATGAAACTGCTTCAAAATATGTCCTTTAACATTTGTGTGTGTTGCCTGTGTCAAAGTAATCATGCAGATAAACAAAATTCATTGGAGCTCCATATAGTATAGCCAAAAATTAATTTCCTCTGTTTAAAGATGTTTACACAAATTTTCATTGAGGTAATTCCTCTCTTATTATCAATATTTATCCTTTTTTACTTTTATTAATATTACAAAAAATGAAATTTTATTCACTTTCAATGCAAAGTCTCTTAATTTGATTGTTTATATTGTAAACTCTGAAGGAAGTGAAGCAAAAAATGTTATGTGGCACAAGTACAAAGAAAAACCTCAATCATTGTCAATCTGTTGTGGTAATGAGACAAAATATATTTTGTAATATATATATACTTTAACAGTTAGCCTTAAAATACTATACATACACAGACTATGAAATAAAAAGTTCAGGAAAATTTTCAAATGTATTTAGTCAACCTGGAACCACTGTATATACAAACAAACACCATGTCCCTACAAAACTCAAGATCAGCTCATCCCCAAAAATTGTTTGTGACTTAAGTCAAAATCTTGAGAAAATAAATCATTTTAACTTAATGAGTCAAAATAATACCAGAATCAGTCAAAGATGAAGTTTTTTTTCTCCTAGCTGGTGGAAATTCAATACATGGCTTCTATACAAAAACCATGTGTGTCAAACAAGGGTTGATACTGCCCTGTCATATGTGAATCATGTGGGTGTTAATTTGCATGAAAATTCTTAGTAGACAATACACTCAACTGGCCACCCCTACATTTGGGGCAAAAAAACAAAGGTTGTAAATAGCATTAAAATGATGTAACATAGCAGCGGTGTTGGTGAGTGATACAATTTGACTGTGACGAGTGATATGATTTAATGGTTTCACAGTTTCTAGACAAAAGGTCCTCACAGCTTTAAGGCACAGAGGCAAAGAGAGAGTAACAGCAAATTCTCTGGTCTAGTTGAAAAACCAGCTGAAGTCTGTGGAAGCTGAAGAACATCATGGATTTCATGTCAATTTATTTCATTTGTTAATGGCAAACTATCTTCACTGACTACAGGAAATAGTTTTTCCTAAACTAATACTTTTCTGTGGGTAAAACTAAGTAATCCTATAATACTATGGTAGTCTTAGAGAAAACATATGGTTTAATATTATCTTAAAGTAGACAACCAAAACATTGTTTAAAAGATTGTAAGATTGTAAAATTACTTGTTTGCTGTTGAGCAATTTGTTTAACAGGTTTAACAGGCAGTTCTCGTCTAGGAGGTATTATTTCACTTGTCAGTGCTGATCTGGAGAGAAACTGTTGATTTATAGCGTAGAGAATACAAAGAGACAGAAGACAATTCTAAGAATAACTTAAAAGGAAAAGTAAAGCCTTCTGCAACTCACTTGCAACTTGTTTGAACCTTAGTTGCAACAGTTGCAACTGTCACTTTGCCAACTGGTGCTTGTGCAATCATTTATTCTTCTTTGTTAGCCTGCTTTTATCATGATCTACACATCACATGGTCAGACTGAACATCATTAAAAGTGACTGATTTCACAACATCAATGGATAAGAAAATAAAACAGAAGCTGGTTTATTAGATAGTTGAAAAGGAGATCCTCCTGATCAGCTTCATGCAAGGTTGGTAGTTTATCATTTTGTCTGGTACCTGAGCCATGAAAACACACAAATTAGAGTTTCTAGAAGCCTTCACTCCTGTTAAAAAGCCACCTGTGCTGTTGTTTATTTTTCTTTGTTAGCCTGTTAGTATTGTCATCTACACAGATGGATTATTAATTTTCTCTTGAGGTTTTATAATTTTACACATAGCCAGTATAAACATACAAAAATAACCAATCTTACCAGATTGATGCTGTGAATGTGCTATACTATTACTACATACTACAGTAAATACTACATACAATACTATGTACTACAGCACCCCAAAAATGGTGTTTGTCCTATTTAAACATGAATTCTGTTCGCTTTAAAATTAGTCTTTTCAGATGGATAAAAAAATTAGCATCCACGGTTGGGTATTAACAGAATATATGTAACTGTGTTACTTAATCAGGATACAAAAAAAGGTTATTAATCCGTTACAGTTACAGTAAAAAAGACCCTAATCAGATTACAGACACATTTTAAAAACAGTGTGTTTACCAACAGGATTACATTCGAATGCAAACAAGTCATCTTTCACCAAAATTTGCCATTTTGATGATAACTATGAATTATGAGTCATGCACATTTGAAGCGTTCTTAATTTGGTGAAGGAGAAGGGGGCGGTTCTGCTGCCAGGAGGGAATTCTGAAGACATCCTCGCCCAACAATAGTTCACAGTGTTTTATTCAGCCAATCTATATATTTTTATTAAGTATTTTATTTTTATTGGCAGAACTGAGATCTGCAGCATTTTCTGGAAGATATTTGATAGACGTTTAACCTGGATTTCCACATTGCCAGATTCTGCTGCAGAAGACTAATCTGATCAGACAGTAAACTCTTTATTCTTGTTTGTCGCTCTGCAAAAAACAGTTTGACCAACTATAAATCAAAGTTCTGAAAGCCTTAACCTACTAGGTTTTAACTAACAGTCTGAAACATGAAGAGAGTCAATTAAATATAGTGAGCGGCAAAGTTAGTTTTCACTTGTATGATTTCTTTCTTCAGTAGTTTTTGAATGATGTATGCAAAATTATCATGCAAATTATCATTATTTGTAACTAAGACGATCAGCTCCCACTTAATGCCTAATTTACTGCCTTTTAAAGCTTTTAGAATTTCTGTGGACTGCAACCACTGAGAGTTGATTAGGGAGCATCTTAAAATGACAATCATCAAAGACTGAGCACGACCCACCAACATGAAACTTTATGGGCCAGTACACAGTTTTTAGAATGACCTCTATTTAGGACGACTGTTGATGAGGAGTCCCAAAAAAGGATTTCTACCAGATTGAACTTTTGACTTTGATAAGAAAAACTGATTTTTAATAAATACGTCACATAAGGAAAAGTCTCAAGACAGCAGTATAGTTTTTAACTACTCTGCATTTGATCCAATGTACTGGATCATTTGACATCAATTAACTGTTCCTCTGTGTTTTAGTCTCAGAGCTTTTAGAACTATTTTACTGTTAAAAATCACATTTTTTTTTCCTGGGAAGCAAACCTTGATTTCTGAACTTCAAGGTTTGAATATACATACAACTCAAATAAACTATACTGTTACACAAATTTATAATCTGTCATCTTTATACTTAAAATGTTTTCATATTGCTGCTGTCGGAACAAAACCTTGTATCTCCAAAATGGTAACTTTACAAGAGAAAGAAAAAACCTACTTTACTTTTCATGCAAGTGAATAGAATCAGTCATTCATTTTCATAGTCATCAGTCAAGTCATTTTGGGCCGTTTCATTTCTACACAATGTAAGGGATGACAGGCATTTTCAAATTCTCAAAAACTGAAAAATTACAAAAATGGGGATATGAGGTTTTGTTCCAACAGCTGCCATATATTAGGTTTGGCTGTTTCACTAAAAGTGAGATCAGTGACTGTTTATGTGTGTACAATATTCATGATATGTACAATATTCAAGTCACATATAATTTATCACTCTCTTTCATAAAATAGTTAAGTTTTTGTGTTTGATGTGTGTCAAGTTAAATTCTTAAAGTTAAAAAAAATGTCTTTTTAAAATTATTTTTCTCTTTTCTTTATTTAACTAAACATCCCATTAAAGACAAATAACCCAAAAGTAACAAAAAGAAATACCAGATTACATTAATTTAGCATAATAATCCTTTGGATTAGGTTAAAATTATATTTTTAAACAGGTAATCAGTAATCTGTAACTGAATACATTTTTAAAGTAACCCTCCTATCCAAAATCTGAATAGCCATAGGTAATGTGTTACTTCAACTGGAGCAAGAAGAGTGGAGTTATTGTCAGAAGACATATCCAAAAAGATAATGAGAGATTAATCTCTTTTTGAATTGTCTCTGCAATTTGACAAATCTGTGGATATGACTTACATAACCAAATTTGTCATGTTTGAATGCTGTTTAATGATGCCAGTATCAAAGAGTACTTTTTCACCAGTGTGCTTCTGAACAAGAGAACAAGAGGTGAGGATATATACTGTGCTTTCAAAGCATACACAACTGAGAAAAACCTTCCACTTCAGAAACTTGTAGAGCACCAGCAATGCGTGGTGTGCATGCTGGTTTTACCACACTTTTACAACCCCATTTCCAAAAAAGTTGGAACGCTGTGCAGAATGCAAATAAAAATAGAATGCAATGATATGCAAGTCATGTGAACCATATTTTTAAAGGAAAATACTACAAAGACAACATAACAAATGAGAAAATAATTTTTTTTTTTTAAATATATGCCCATTTTGAATTTGATGCCGACAACACGTTCCAAAAAAGTTGGGACAGGGGCACGTTTACCACTGTGTTTCATCACCTCTTCTTTTAACAACACTCTGTAAGCAGTTGGGAACTGAGGAGACCAATTGCTGTAGTTTTGAAAGTGAAACATTTTCCCATTCTTGTTTAACATAGGATTTCAGCTGCTCAACAGTTCGGGATCTCTTGTGTCGTATTTTACATTTTATAATGCATTCATAAATGTTTTCAGTGGGTGACAGATCTGGACTGCAGACAGGTCAGTTTAGCACCCGGACTCTTAATACGGAGCAATGCTGTTGTACTACATGCAGAATGTGGTTTGGCATTGTCTTGCTGAAATAAGCAAGGCCTTCCCTGAAAAAGATGTTGTCTGAATGGGAGAATATGTTGCCAAAACATGTACAAATCATTCAGCATTAATGGTGCTTTCACAGATGTGCACGTCACCCATGCCATGTGCTCTAATGCACCCCTATACAATCATTAATACTGGCTTATGAACTGTGCACTGATAACAAGCTGGGAGGTCTTTAGCCTGGAGGACGCCATGTCCATGATTTTCAAAAAGAATTTCAAACTTTGATTTATCAGACAGAACACTTCTCCACTTCCCCTCAGTCCATTTTAAATGAGCTTGGACCCAGAGAAGGTGGCAGCGTTTCAGGATCCTGTTTATATTTGGTTTCTTTTTTGCGTTTTAGATTTTTAACTTGCGGATGCAGCAACAAACTGTTTTTCAGAAGTGTTTCTGAGCACATGCAGTGATTTCCACCACAGAATCATGTCTGTTTATAATGCAGTGCCGCCTGTGGGCTTAAAGATCATAGCCAGCAAATACTAGTTTTCAGCCATGTCCTTTGCATACAGAGATTTTACCAGATTCTCTGAATCTTTTAATGTTATTATGTACTGTAGATGATGAAAAGCAAAAAGTTCTTTGCTATTTTATGCTGAGAAACATTATTCTCGAATTGCTGCACTATTTGCCTGCGCAGTCTTTCACAGAGTGGTGAACCCCTCCCTATCTTTACTTCTGAAAGACTCAGCCTCTCCGAGATGTTCTTTTTATACCCAATCATGTTACTGACCTGTTGCCAATTAACCACCAAGTGTTTTATTTAGCATTACACTATCCCAGCCTTTTGCTGCCCCTGTCCCAACTATTTTGGAATGTGTTGCTGGCATCAAATTCAAAATGGGCATATTTAAAAAATAAACAAAAAAAACAATAACATTTCTCTGTTTCAACATCTGATATGTTGTCTTTGTACTATTTTCAATTACATATATGGTTAAAACGATTTGCACATTATTGCATTTTGTTTATATTTACATTTTGCACAGCATCCCAACTTTTCCGGAAATAGGGTTGTATTTATTAACATTTGCAGAAACTCAACTACAAAAATTAGGCAGAATGCACATCCCCAGACTATATATATATATATATATATATATATATATATGAAAAACAGTGATATAATTGAACAATGACTTTGACTGACCTGATCGATTACTGAATCCAGGGTGCTTAACAGCAGGAAGCCACGGCCTCGAACCAAGTACTCTCCCAGAGCCACCATGTGACTTTCCTCCTCTTCTTCCATCCTCTGGGCCTCTGCCTGCTGAGCCACAGCACTACAAAGCTGGTGGACATCTGTCAGGAACTCCCTTGCCAGAGTATTACTGGCACCACTCATATCAGAACTAGGGGAGAGAAATGAACAGAGATACGTAACAGTCCTGTGCTAACTTACCCAACTAGAAAAGTATAGATTTTTAGCTACAGATGTAAGGGTGGACGATATTTTATCTTACTGTGATACATTACACTGTAAAATGGTTTTCTGAACATATTGTGGATATCATCAGTATTAAAAGAACGCTGACCTACTGCATGTTTCATCACAATCAAAGCGTAATTAGTCCTGTTTAATTGTATTTAGTGCAATGGAGCATGTGAAACAATACTCAGGGAAAAAAAATAAAAAAAATACTGTATTCACAGTTTTTCATAGTACTTTTAAATGTGGCATTACTGGTTCTGATTTTTTTCAGTTCCATTGAAACCTCAGAAAAACTAAACCTTGTGATACATATCATGTATTGTCAAAGTGTCTTTCAAAGTACAATTTGGTAATTTGCTCTAGCAAAATGTTGTTACGTTACTAACTTCTAATTTAACAGTTTAGCTACTTAGACTTCGTGCCGTAAATATATTACCAGGTTAACAAATACTGAAGAAATGTGAAGATCTCGATTACACGAGTTAAGAATATGTACTCAAGTAACAAGACTTACTTAAAAACGCATTTTATTTCTATCTTGTACAAAGCATATTCTCGTTTTTTATATTGTGGTATTCTTAGTACTCTCAGGTTTGACGCAGTCTTTAATTTTTGTTATTCTAAGAACTAATAAAAGCTGCATTGCAGGAACTGGAACATAGTCTGAGGCCTATGTGAGCCCTGTGTGCTGACTTAAGTAGTGAGAATCTAGCAGTTATGCAATGGGATCACATTCAAAGAGAACAGAAGACCCTGCCCTGCACCTGTCATCTGACGCTTAGTCTAACTAAGAGGCTTACTGTATCACATCAACCTGTTATTCCATCCTCCAGATCAGGCTCCCTACAGAATTTCAAATGCAACTGCTGTCCCAAGGTCAAAGGTAGAACAAATTGGTACGCTGACGCACACTCTAAAACAAAACTGACAAACAAAAAAGGAAATCTGGACATCTAAACTGTGGAGTAAGGCACAAAAAAGTTACAATCTAATTAGAAAAGTGCACGATACAGACTTTCTATTTAGCCATTGGTTTTAATACAACATTTGATATAGTTACTATAATACATACAATGGAATTGACCTTTTAATACACTTTATACTCCAACCCAACCTTTAAACACTCAGTTAACGTGTAAGTAAACGTGTCATTTAAACAACACTGTCCTCCTACAAAGATGCTGGAGAAATAAAATGCATCAGCATCGTCCACTGGTGTGAGGTTCACCAAGCCTTCGTGTATTTCATTCATTTTAAATGGATGCTTTCCTGATTGTGAGATGATCACCCTGTGGCATCAGGTCTGACTCAGGAGCTCAAGACACCAGTGGCATGGACAGGCTTTGTAGTAAGTCTACTGAAACATACATACATGCTAACATCTGTGCACTTACAGTTTGTCTGTTACTATTGTTAATCAATTACTACCAAATCATGATAACAACTCTTGCTAACGGATTTCCAACAGCTGGGAGTAACTGGTTCTTGTTAACTAAAGATCTGAAAAATACCAACAACTCCCAACTAAACTTCTGCCTGCCTAAAGAAAAGAAAAAAGTCATTTCTCACATTTACTAAACAAAATAAGCTGTGTACAGCTCTACACCAAGCACTTTTTTACTTGTGCATAAAACCACTGAATGTAATATTACAGCCAGTGAAAAGTATGAAAAATTAGCTACTTTAAAAAAATATTAAATGATGGAATAATATAATATCTTTGCATGTTTTACATATATCTGCAAGTTTCAAGCAAATTTGAATAATCCTTCTTGGGATACAATATACAGTATATATAATATACAGTCAAAACATCTTAAAGATTGGGTTTTCAGCTATATTAAGCAAGACTTGTGACACTCAATTTGTTATGTAGGACCAAGTAACTTCTAGATGTGGTAGAACCATATTAGTATTACACTGAATCAAACTCTAGTTACAAGAAAGTGAGAACTTTTGAAAATTAATGATTCATTGTTTATTTATGGTTGATTACTGTGAAACATTCAGCAAAAACTATTTGCATGAATACATGATGCAAATGAGTACAAATAGCACAAGTTTCAACATCCGGCGGAAAATAAGCAACTGATGAGGCTTAGAGTGCACATACAAAAAAATCTCAAAAAATGATGAAAAGGGCCAAAAACCTCAAAAATTTGTAACTAAAAAAAGTACTTGGAATAGAGCTTTAGGATTTAGCAAGATGCCATGAATTTAATAAAAGTTGTCAGGAGGCTGTTTATGGGGCTGTACAGGGCTGGTATTTTCCAAAGCAGAACAATAACAGCGTGTTGGCTAAAGTGTATAGGGACATGCAGTTAGATGTCACACTTTTCACTGCAACTCCTAGTGCCTGAGACAAATTACTGATATCATACAAACCTAGATACAACAAAAGCCCAAAAAATGCTGACCAAAATAAGTGCAACATTATGTTATTTTACTGGTATGTAGAGACTTTAGATTTTGAATATGCTGTGCCTAATAGAAGGGTTGGTTGGCACAACCTTTATACTGTGTTAAATCTATAATGAATGGCTTACGCAAATGGACTCAAAGAGCAAAGAATGAACATTTATATTTCACATGAATATAAATTTAGAGATTTATCTGTTCAGGTTATTTCAGATCATTTATTCTAATTAAGTCTTTTGGTCTAATAATAAAATTACATAAAAAAATAAAATACTATGCAAAGAGTAAAATATAAAAAAAAACTACCCTCTAAGACTAACTTACACTGAGTCCTACAGCAAACACAATTTTACTCTTTACCCTTACAATACATCAAACGAAGTACTGTTATGGTATATATACACAGTTGCTTGTGCATTTCTAATGCACCCAGTTTTTACAGTGTCAGTGCAGAATTTATCTGTGGGTCTTCTGTTGGAGAGGTGCTCCAAACATGCCAGACAAAAGCATTCCTCACAAGCAAGTGTGAAACCCATCAATAAAAGCGCTGTTACAATTAAGGGCATACTAATTTTACATTACAGGAAAGGGCACATATGATTCACTGATGCATTTCTTTTTGCCTTTTTAAGAAAGTTGATTTCAAAGTGCATTAATGCAAATTAGATTAACAACAAAACCGATTTAAAACAAACAGAAAATCACGTTGGCAAAATTAGTTAAAACTGATCAGGAAATAAACAAACAAAGGTGATCTTTTACTCTGTGTCATTTTTGATAATTACACATGCTTTTTTGTTCAAGGTCTTTAGCTGCCTGAACTAATTGTGGTCTTTCCTCGGCAATACAATATATAGTTGTGGCGTGCACCCGTCCACCGGGCCCCGATGGTGGCCGCCAAAGCCGACAGGAAGGCAGGGCCCGAGCTCAGAGGGGGGATGAAGCCCGACGAGGACGGCGGGAAGAGGAACACCGCGAGTGAGGGGGGGGGCGGCGCACGAGTCCTGTGCCCTGCCTCCTGAGCGCCATCTCCGGTCCAGAGACTGCAGCAGTGCGTGTAGAGCTTAACGTCCAGGCAGCAGCCCAGTCAGTAGAATATCAGAGTCTTGCCCACCTGGAGAGTGCCTTGGCGGTGGGCCCATGTGGTGTTACGTGTCCAACAGCCATAAATTTCCTCTATGTTACATAGTGACTGCTGTCTGGCTTGCTCAACTGCCGGCTGTAGTACATGATGACCCTCTCATTACCCTCTGTACTTGCGAATGGAAGGCACCGATACCCATGTCACTGGCTTTGTCGCTAAGGCTTTGTTCACACCGCAGGTGAAAGTCGCCCAAATCCAATCTTTTTCATCATATCTGACACAGACGTGTTGTCTGTGTCAGTGTGAACAGCAAAAAACACAGTGAATCTGACATTTTTAATTCTGGTTCGAGACGCTTTCATATGTGGTACTGAAATTCAATACGTATCCGATATGCGGCAATGCGACTCAGTCAGAACAGCCAGATCGGAATTCGTGCGACTTTTACGTCAATCCGACTCGATATTCGTCAGAATTTCATGCTGCTGAGACGGCATAAACATTTAAACTGATGTTTCTGTACCAAAAAATAAGAAGGCACTTATGGCAACCGCTCCATGTTCAAAGAGATTTTGAACAAAACGTCTGAACACAGCCATAGGAGAACAAAACTGCAGCATCAAAAAAAAAATAAAAAAAAAACTTAAAGAATCCAAGGACAAGAACCAAAGAAGTGACTGTGGCCAAATAACTTGCAATTTTTTACAGCAAACTCGAACACATTCTGAGTGATGAGCCCATCTGTTAAATATTGGAACTTCATAATCTCTCCTGTGATGCCAGTGAAGACGAAACTGAACCTTCCGGGAGCGGACTGGCGTTTGTTGACTGTCATGATTGTTTACCTCTGGATGAGTGCGCCACATGAAGCAACATTAGGCATTGTTCTTTTGCGCACACGGGTTAGTTTAGGAGTGTGATCTGCTCAGACTAATGGCGCATATAGGTCACATTTAAAAGATACTGTGAACAGCCAAACAAAAAAAAAAAATCAGAATTGTTGAGAAAATCAGATTTAGGCCACTTTTACCTGCTGTGCAAATATAGCCCAACATTGTGACAAACTTGCTGCTCTTCCGTGGAAAAGCCAGTACCAGCGACTCACAGAGCCAGGCACAGAGGGCAACAAAGACACGCTCAGCTTTCAGTCCAAGCGGAAAATGGTGCCCCTTTTCCAGTGCATTCTGGAGGCTAAAAGCCAGTTCCGTGAACTGGCAAAGGCTGCCTTCCAGCGTGAACACCATCTTTTCTCTAGAATCCACCATTGCGTTTATATATAGAACATCAGCTAGCTTGTTATATCACCCAAGGCAGCATCACAGTTTTTCAGTGTAGTAAAGACTTCAGGGGTCAGTCATGGTTAAGTTCTTCAAGGTGGTGAGCAAGACCGCCTTGATCATTAGATTTTAGTTGATGAG